GGCGACGGGAAATAGCGCGGAGGACATCGCTCGCGGCAGCTTCTCTTTGTATTGTGCCCCCTTTTATCCCTCCCTCTCTCCCCTCCCTCTCTTTTCTCTCCCTCTACCTCCCCCACCCACCACCGCGCCCAGTCTGGACCCACCTCCCCTCCCCCCTGCCTGGAGCACGTGATGTTTATATATAACTATGTTTCTGGTTTGGTAGCTAATGTGTCCGGCCTCCAGCCTGTCCACAGGGTAGAGAGATTGTCACCGTGTAGAGAACCTGCAATAAAAACTATTCTACCTGACGACCCGAGTCTTCCTTTACATCAACTCTGCTCTCTGTCTGTCTGTCTCTCACTGTCCATTAGTGGGTGTCTGTCAGTCTGTTGCTCTCTCCATCAGTGTGGGTATGTCTCTCTGTGCATGTGTGTGTGTCTGACATTATTGGGCTGAGTAACTGGGCTATTATTGGGGTGAGTAACTGGGCTATTATTGGGCTGAGTAACTGGGCTATTATTGGGCTGAATAATTGGGCTATTGTTGGGCTATGGGTTGGTTATTGGGCGGGTCGTTGGGCTATTGGGCTATTATTGGGGTTGGTAACCTGGTCAGTGAGTTACTGTCATTAACTTCCGGTTTGAGGGGAATTTATGCACTTCCGGAAGCCACCGGAACCGGAAATAGAAGCCGTGAAGCTGGTGGAGGTGAGAGAAAGAGAGGGGGGGACAGAGAGAGAGAGAGAGGAGGGCGGGGGGGGCAGAGAGAGAGGGGGATAGAGAGAGGGAGGGATAGAGAGAGAGAGGGGGGGACAGAGAGGGATAGAGAGAGAGAGGAACAGAGAGAGAGGGATAGAGAGAGAGAGAGGGGGGACAGAGAGAGCGAAGGATAGTGAGAGAGAGGGGGATAGAGAGAGAGAGGGTTAGAGAGAGAGAGAGGGGGGGCAGAGAGAGAGGGGGATAGAGAGAGGGAGAGGGGGGGGACAGAGAGGGATAGAGAGAGAGAGGAACAGAGAGAGAGAGGGATAGAGAGAGAGACAGAGGGGGGATAGAGAGGAATATATATATAGAGAGAGAGGCAGAGTTTATTACAGCCACTGACCAGAGAGAGGGAGAGACAGAGACTATTACAGAAAGATAGAGAGAGAAGTAACCAGGTCAGTAACTACTCAGAGAGGTAACTAACCACAGAGACCTTACTATAGTCAGTGATAACAGACAGGGACTTACCCAGTAACCAGAGAGATTCATCAGTGCTACTAATCACAGTCATCAACCAGGTAACTAACCAGGTCAGGGTCACTAACCTGTGTCTCTGTGTCTTGTCACTGTGTGTGTCCATCACTGGGTGCGTGTGTGTGTCTATCACTGTGTGTATGTCTGTCACTGTGAGAGTGTTGTGTGTCTCTCTCTCACTGTGTGTGTTGTGTCTCTCTTTCACTCTGTGTGTGTGTGTTTGTTTCCCTTTCACTCTGTGTGTGTTTGTGTGTGTGTCTCTCACTCTGTGTGTGTCTGTCTGTCTCTCTCACTGTGTCTGTGTGTTACAGACGCTCTTGCTGTCTGAGGTGATGGAACACGAGGCTGATCATAGCACAATGTCCGACACAGCCGGAGCCTCCTGTACAGTGACCGAGACTGTAGCCAGTCAGCCTGACACTGTGAGTACCCCTTCATTAATACCCTCTCATTAATACAACAACAATACATTTGTGTAGTGCCTTTCACGTTGGGAGGATGTCCGGGGGGGGAAGGATGGTGATCAAAGGCACCGTTGAAGAGGAGGATCTTGAGATGGGTCTTGAAGGAGGCAAGGAAGGGGAAAAGGTAGAGGGACTGCGGGATGGAGGCAGTGGGTGAAGGCCCGCCCACCAATGGTGGGGCAAATGAGGCAGAGGGACTGTGGGAATGGAGCTGGGCTGGGTGGGGAACGTGAAGCAGGCCAGAGCCCGCTGAGCAGAGGGAGCGGACAGGTTGGTAGGGGGTTAGGAGATTGCAGAGGTCGGGGGGAGCAAGACCATGGAGGGCTTTGAAGGTAAGGCCCAGACCTTGGAACTGTATCCTCTGTGTGATGGGAAGCCAGTAGAGTCGGGCGAGGATGGGGGTGATGGGGTCACGGTGCGGGAGAGGACACGGGCTGCAGAATTCTGGATGATCTGCAGCCTATGGAGCACGGAGTTGCGGAGGCCGATAAGCAGGAAGTTTGCTTAGTTGAGCCTCGATGTAATGAAGGCGTGGATGAGGGTCTCCGGGGGCCTGTCGAGGCAGTCACGGAGCCGGGCGATGTTGCAGAGGTGGGGAAGGTAGAGCGGGTCAATGGCACAGACAGTGGGGTAGAAAGGACAGTTGAGGGTCATGCAAGACCTCCTCGCTACCCCATCAGTGAAGCTGTGAGAGTCTCATCAATCACTTGGATCAATACCTCGTCACCAGGATCAATAGGGCTCTGTGTCGCCTCCCACAGGAAACCCGCAGTATTACGCTGCGTCTGAGGAAAAGGAAAACGGACAAGAAGGTGGAGTGGAGCAGCGACACTGTGGACAACGAGAACCTCGGCCGTCGCTCGTCCAAGTGTGAGGATCTCTCTCTCTTTCTCGGTCCCTCCCTCTCTGTGCGTGTGTGTGTCTCTCTCTCTCTGTCTCTCTCTCTTTGTCCATGTGTCTCACTCCCTCTCTCACTCACTATCCCTCTCTCTCTCTCTCTCTCTCTCTCACTAACCTCTCTCTCTCTCACTAACCTCTCTCTATCTTTCACTAACCTCTCTTTCTCTCTCACTAGCCTCTCTATCTCTCTCACTAACCTCTCTCTATCTCTCTCACTAACCTCTGTCTCTCTATCTCTCTCTCACTAACCTCTCTCTCTCTCTATCTCTCTCACTAACCTCTCTCTCTCTCTATCTCTCACTCACTAACCTCTCTCTCTCTATCTCTCTCTCACTAACCTCTCTCTCTCTATCTCTCGCTCACTAACCTCTCTCTCTCTCTATCTCTCGCTCACTAACCTCTCTCTCTCTAGGCTGCTGTGTGTATAACAAGGCCCGTGTGTTTGGCGAGAGCTCCTCAGAGAGTGAGGACGACGATGATGAAGATGACGATGGCTGTGGAAACGCACATTGTATCCGGGGGCACAAGAAGCCTTCGGGAGGAGGGGCGGAGCTCAGCCCTGAGCCCCGCCCCCAACACTGAGGGGGCGTGGTCAGCCCAGGGCACTGATGGGCTCAGGGGCGGAGCTTGGACCATAGCCCCGCCCATGACACAGAGGTATTGGTATGCCCCGCCCCCTCCCCCACAGCCCCGCCCCCTCCCCTGCAGCCCTGCCCTCTGGGACGGAGCCAGTCAGGTCATTGGCTGTGGTCGAGCTGTTGTGTTGTGGTCACTGAGCTGCTCATTGGTGACCCGCTGATACATTGGGGCGGGGCTGAGTGGTGGGTGGGGCATGACAAGTGGGCGGGGCTCCAGCGATGGGCAGAGCATGAGCGAAAGGCAGGGCATGGGGATAGGGGCGGAGCATGCAGAAAGTACCCAGAGAGATGTGACAGAGAGAGAGAGAGTGAGTGACCGGTCAGTCAGACAGACACAGAGAGAGAGTGTGACAGAGAGAGAGAGTGACCCTCAGTCAGACAGACAGAGAGAGAGAGAGTGTGAGAGAGAGAGAGAGAGTGACCCTCAGTCAGACAGACACACAGAGAGAGAGGCCCTCGGTCAGACAGACAGGGAGAGAGTGACAGAGAGAGAGAGAATAACCGGTCAGTCAGTCATACAGACAGACACAGAGAGAGTGTGCGACAGGGAGAGAGAGAGTGACCCTCAGTCAGACAGACACAGAGAGAGAGTGAGAGAGAGAGAGTGACCCTCAGTCAGACAGACACAGAGAGATAGAGAGAGAGAGGCCCTCAGTCAGTCAGACAGACAGAGAGAGAGAGAGTGTGACAGAGAGAGAGAGAATGATCGGTCAGTCATACAGACAGAGAGTGTGTGACTGGAGAAAAAGTGAGAGGAGACCTGCGAGAGACCTATCTCGCAAAGTGACCTGTCAGAGAGCGTGTCTATGCCTGTGTTACGCGGGGAATGTTATACCCTCTGTGTGTGCGTGCGTGTGTGTGTGACGTGCGTCTGTGTGTGATGTGTTTGTGTTGGGGGGGGTGGGGGGAGCTGTATAATTACTGTTATTCTCTTGACAATTAAAAATAAAATGCTGGTTCTGAATATGGAGCACGGGAAATGTTTGTGAGCGCACGAGATTGAGCGCATGCAAGTGATCGAGGGCGAGAGTGAGCCCTCACACGTGCGGGCGGGTCTTCCCATCACCGTTCACTACTCGCAGGCAAGAGAAGATTGTGAGCAAAACTGGGGTGGCCACATTTTATAAAGCAAATCTGGGAACATGTATAAACATAATAATATCGCCCACAAAACATACAGTCACTACACTTTATTACATATAATAATAATCCTTGCATTTGATATAGCGCTGTTCACGTCGGGAGGACGTCCCAAAGCGCTTCACAGAACACACTGTAAAGTGAATTGACTGTATATTTGTGGGCGAACGCGGCAGCCAATTGCGCACAGCAATGTCCCACAAACAGTCGTGGATTGAAAATGACCAATTTATTATTGTTTTGGGTTTTGGAGGATTATTATTAGGCTCTGTGTGGAGTAAGGAAACTTGCCCGAGGTTTCGCCCTCTGCCTGGAATTGAACTCAGGTCTCTCACTCGCATATTCCACATATAAGGAATGACACTGTGTGTGTGTATATATAAACAATGCCAATGTGTATAAGGAGTGACTGTGTGACAATATCTATAACATTTTCAGATATAAACTGAGATGTTGTTGTAATAAACTTTGGGCTCAGACTCGGCTCTGCGCCTGCGCAGCTCCCTCGGCCCGGGCTGTGTGCGCATGCGCAAGATGGCGGCGCCCATGGAGAGAGAATGTCAGAAAGAGGGATAGAGAGAGAGAGGGATAGAGAGAGAGAGGAATAGAGAGAGAGGGATAGAGAGAGAGGAATAGAGAGAGAGAGCGATAGAGAGGGATAGAGAGAGAGAGGATAGAGAGAGAGAGGGAATAGAGAGAGAGGGATAGAGAGAGAGAGGGAATAGAGAGAGAGGGATAGAGAGAGAGAGAGGGATAGAAAGAGAGAGCGATAGAGAGGGATATAGAGAGAGAGGGATAGAGAGAGAGAGGAATAGAGAGAGAGAGCGATAGAGAGAGAGAGGAATAGAGAGAGAGAGCGATAGAGAGGGATATAGAGAGAGAGGGATAGAGAGAGAGAGCGATAGAGAGGGATATAGAGAGAGAGGGAATAGAGAGAGAGGGATAGAGAGAGAGAGGGAATAGAGAGAGAGGGATAGAGAGAGAGAGGGATAGAGAGAGAGAGGAATAGAGAGAGGGATAGAGAGAGAGAGGAATAGAGAGAGAGAGCGATAGAGAGGGATATAGAGAGAGAGGGATAGAGAGAGAGAGGGAATAGAGAGAGAGGGATAGAGAGAGAGAGGGATAGAGAGAGAGGAATAGAGAGAGAGAGGGATAGAGAGAGAGAGAGGAATGGAGAGAGAGGGATATAGAGAGAGAGGGATAGAGAGAGAGAGGAATAGAGAGAGAGAGGGATAGAGAGAGAGAGAATAGAGAGAGGGATAGAGAGAGAGAGGAATGGAGAGAGAGGGATAGAGAGAGAGAGGTAACAGTGACAGAGAGGGATAGAGAGAGAGGGATAGAGAGAGAGAGGAATAGAGAGAGAGGGATAGAGAGAGAGAGGAATGGAGAGAGAGGGATAGAGAGAGAGAGGGATAGAGAGAGAGAGGGATAGAGAGAGAGAGGAATGGAGAGAGAGGGATAGAGAGAGAGAGGTAACAGTGACAGAGAGGGATAGAGAGAGAGAGAGGGATAGAGAGAGAGGGATAGAGAGAGAGAGGGATAGAGAGAGAGGGCGATAGAGAGGGATAGAGAAAGACAGAGAGGGATAGAGAGAGAGAGGTAACAGTGACAGAGACTGTCTCATTACAGGGTCTGTGTCTGGTCACCTCGGTTAGAGTGAGGTGGGGGGGGTGTTGGGGGTCTTTGGGCCGGGGTGGGATGTTGCTGTCGGGCTGTGTGCGTCGGGGGGAGAGGTGTCTCCAGGGGGCCTGGCAGCGACACTGCAGCGGGGGGTCTGGGGGCCAGACTGAACCCCCCTCGGGGACCGCGGCCTCCAGCCGGCTCCGCAACAGAGCAGCCAAACAGCAGCGGAGAGAACAGAGGCTGCAGGACATCGAGGCCAGAGCCGGTGTGAACGCAGAGCAGGAGGTGAGTGAGTGAGTGATCGAGCGGTGGGAGCTGGTGGGGTGGGGGGGGGGGAGAGAAAATAACCTCCTTCAGATGAGACGTCAAACCTTGCTCTCTCCTTCCCTCTCCCCCCGTCTGTGCCCTGTTCAGGGCAGATGTTAACGATTTTGGGGAAAAAAGAAGGGACTTTCTCTCTCCCCTCCGCCCCCGGTGTCCTGACTGATGAATCCCACCCCCCCACCCCCAGATAAAATTGATCGTTCACCTCATGGCTGTTCGTGGAGACGTCGCTGTGTGCAAAACAGGGGCTGCCCACCAAACACACAGTCACTACACTTGACGGTGTATAGTGTAAAGCTGCGGGGTGGGTGGGGGCTGTGCGAGAAGTGGGGGGCGCTCAGGTCTGTGTGATTTTTCCAGGTTAAGGAGAAAGGTCACTGGTCACATAAGGATGTGCTCGTTTACACACAGAAAACCCAACCTGGAGAGAAGAAAGGTGAGACCCCCCTCGACATACATACACACTGACAAATACACCCTCTCTGTACAGACACCTCAGTCTCTCTCTCTCTCTCTGTACAGACACCTCAGTCTCTCTCTCTTTCTCTGTACAGACACCTCAGTCTCTCTCTCTGTACAGACACCTCAATCTCTCTCTCTTTCTCTGTACAGACACCTCAGTCTCTCTCTCTGTACAGACACCTCAGTCTCTCTCTCTCTCTGTACAGACACCTCAGTCTCTCTCTCTCGCTCTGTACAGACACCTCAGTCTCTCTCTCTCTGTACAGACACCTCAGGCCCTCTCCCTGCTGCCTACAGTCCGGGGTACGTGGAAGCCACCTGGTATCCCTGGTGGGAGAAACAGGGATTTTTCCGGCCGGAATATCATGTGAGTAAATCCTGGGCATAGAACACGCGTGTTACAGGCATGTGTCTGCCTGAGGCTGACTGTGAATCTCACGCGTGTTATAGGGGGTGTGATATTTGTGTTACGGGCAGTGTTGCATGTGTGTTACAGGTGTGCTACATGTGTGTTGGGTGTGACACGTGTGTTATAGGCAGTGTGTGTGTTAGAGGTGTGTGGCATGTGTGTTATAGGCAGTGCGACACGTGTGTTATAGACGTGTTACACCTATACTACGGGCGGTGTTACATGTATGTTATAGACGTGTTACACATACACTGCGGGCAGTGTTACATGTGTGTTATAGACGTGTAACACGTGTGTTACAGGCACAGATGAAACACGCCCGGAATGAGACATTCTCGCTGTGTTTTCCTCCCCCCAACGTCACGGGATCCCTTCACCTCGGCCATGCTCTGACAGCAGCCCTGCAGGACGCCAGGGTCCGGTGGTGAGAGGAGGGGGTGAGGGAGAGATACAGGGCGAGGAGGGCATGCGGGGGGAGGCAGTGAGGGTGTGTGTGAGGGGGGAGGGGGTGTGAGGGGGACGGTGTATGAGGGTGTGTGGGAGGGGGAGGGTTTGTGTGAAGGAGGGTGTGTGTGAGGGAGGGTGTGTGAGGGAGGGTGTGTGTGGGAGGGTGTGTGAAGGAGGGTGTGTGAGGGAGGGTGTGTGTGTAGGAGGGTGTGTGTGGGAGGGTGTGTGGGAGAGGGAGGGTGTGTGTGAGGGGGGAGGGTGTGTGAGGGGGACGGTGTATGAGGGTGTGTGGGAGGGGGAGGGTTTGTGTGAGGGAGGGTTTGTGTGAGCGAGGGTGTGTGAGGGAGGGTGTGTGAAGGAGGGTGTGTGAGGGAGGGTTTGTGAGGGAGGGTGTGTGTGTAGGAGGGTGTGTGTGGGAGGGTGTGTGGGAGGGGGAGGGTGTGTGTGAGTGGGAGGGTGTGTGAGGGTGAGTGTAATACTGTTATGTACTGTTACAGGAGGAGAATGCAGGGACACAAAGTGCTGTGGATTCCAGGCTGTGATCATGCGGGAATCGCAACCCAGGTTCATACACCAGATCTTACACCTCACAACCCAACCTCTGTCTGTCTCACACTCACACACTCTCAACACAACCTCTGTCTGTCTCTCACTCACACACTCACAACACAAGCTCTGTCTGTCTCACACTCACAACACAAGCTTCGTCTCTCACACTCACAACACAAGCTCCGTCTCTCACACTCACACCTCACTGACACAAACTCTCTCTCACACGCACACACATATACATACCTCACACTGTGTCTGTGTGTGTCTCTCTTTCACTCTCTCGGGCAGGTGGTGGTGGAGAGGCAGTTATGGAAGGACCAAGGGCTGCGAAGGGAGGAAATGTCTCGCGAAGAGTTTGTGTCAGAAGTCTGGCGCTGGAAAGCGGAGTGAGTAACAGAAAGAGAGAGGGAGAGTGAGTAACAGAGAGAAAGAGAGAAAGTGAGTGTGTGAGAGAGAGACTGGGAGAGAGAGTGTGTGAGCGACTGAGAAAAAATGTGTATGTGAGAGAGAGAGATAGAGTGAGAGAGACTGAGAGAGAGATGTGTTAATGATAGTGTTAATGATGATGACAGGAAAGGGGATGAAATCTACCATCAGCTGCGGAGACTGGGAGCCTCGCTAGACTGGGAGCGAAGCTGCTTCACACTGGACCCTGTGAGTGACAACAACAAGAACTACAGTAACTCTTACACACACTCTCTGTCTCTGTCTCACACACATTCACAGTCTCACACACACACACAGTCTCACACACACACACACACACTGTCTCTGTCTCATTCACACTCTCTGTCTCTCTCTCACACACAGAGATACTTAAAAACATTGACGGAGGGCTTTGTGAGGTTACACGTGGGAGGCTGTATTTACCTCTCTCTCTCTCTCTCTCTCTCTCTCTGTGTTACAGAGATATTCGGAGGCAGTGACGGAGGGCTTTGTGAGGTTACACGAGGGAGGCTGTGTTTACCGGGATCAGGGGCTTGTAAACTGGTCGTGTGCTTTACGTTCCACCATCTCTGACATCGAGGTTTGTCTGTCACTGACCCCACGTGGGGCTGTTCCTGACCTGGGCACTGTGTGTGTGTGTTTGTGTGTGGGACAGGCTGAGTGTGTGTGTGTGTGTTTCACTGTGCATGTCTCACTGTGTGTTTGTGTGTCTCACTGTATGTCTCTCACTGTGTGTGTGTGTGTGTGTGTGTCTCTCAGGTACAGAGCCGTTCAGTGAAAGGAATCACTCACCTCTCGGTCCCGGGTCACAGTCACCTCATCCCCTTCGGCCAAATCTTCCTGATCAGCTTCGTCACCGAGGATCTGGGTAAGTCGGTCTCTCTCACTCACTCACTCCCTCTCACTTTCTCTCTCTCTCAGTCTCTCTCTCACACTCTCTCTCACTCTCTCTCTTACTCACTCTCATTCTCTCTCACACTCTCTCTCTCAAACTCGCTCTCTTTCACACTCTCTCACACTCTCTTACACACTCTCTCTCTCACACTCTCACTCACTCCCTCACTCCCTCACTCTCTCTTTCACACTCTCACTCTCTTGCTGTCTTTCACACTCGCTCTGGCTCTCTTTCACACTCTCTCTCTCTCTCACACTCTCTCTCACTCTCTCTCACACTCGCGCGCTCTCTCTCTTGCTCTCTCTAGAGGATGAGGTGGTTGTGGCGACGACGAGGCCGGAGACAATGTTCGGAGACGTTGCCATCGCGGTTCATCCTGAAGATCAGCGTTACATAGTGAGTCCACACTCACAGTCACCCTCACACTCAGTTACACACTCACACACAAACACTCAACACTCACACACCCTCACACTCACTTACACACTCACACACAGACAGAGACAAACACAACACACAGACACACATACACAGATACACACAAACACAGATGCACACAGACACACACACAGACACACGTGGCTGAGCTGACGTATCTCCTCTCCCGCAGCACCTTCATGGCTCCCGATTCCGACACCCGTTCAACAGCCGCCTCCTCCCCCTCCTCACAGACACCAGTATCCAGCCCGAGCTCGGCACCGGTGAGCAACACGCACACACTGGGCGGGGGGGTGAGGGGGTGGTGCATGTAACACAATGTAATACAGGCGTCTGTCTGTCTGAGTGTGTGCTGAGTGTGTGCGTGTGTCTGTGTCTATCTGTGTGTGTGTCTGTCTGTGTGTGCGTCTGTCTGTCTGTGTGTGTACATATTTCTGTGTGTCTGTGAGTGTGTGTGTCTGTGTCTGTGTGTGTGTCTGTGTGCGCGTGCGTCTGTGTATGCATAAACACTCTCTCTCTCAGGGGCAGTGAAGGTGACACCAGCTCACGATCACACAGATTACCATCTCGCTCTCCGTCACTCACTCCCCATAATCCATATCTTCAACCAGGACGGCACCATGAACAGTCACTGTGACTCCTGGCTCCAGGTCAGTGTGTCTGTGTCACTCTCTCTGTCTCTCACACTCACTCTGTCTCACACTCTCTCTGTCTCTCACTCTCTCTCTCTGTCTCTCACACTCTCGCTCTATCTCTCACACTCTCTCGCTCTGTCTCACACACTCTCTCTGTCTCTCACACTTTCTCGCTCTGTCTTTCACACTCTCTCTGTCTCACACACTCTCTCTCTCTCACTCAGGGGCAGCCCAGGTTTGATGCTCGGCGGCTGATTCTGGAGGCTCTGATGGAGCGAGGTTTACACCGCGGCTCAGAGGAGCACAGCCTGGTGCTGCCCGTCTGCAGGTCAGGGCTGGGAGCTGTCTGTCTGTCTGTCTGTCTGTCTGTCTGTCTGTCTGTCTGTCTGCCTGCCTGCCTGCCTGCCTGCCTGCCTGCCTGCCTGCCTGCCTGCCTGCCTGCCTGCCTGCCTGCCTGCCTGCCTGCCTGCCTGCCTGCCTGCCTGCCTGCCTGCCTGCCTGCCTGCCTGCCTGCCTGCCTGCCTGCCTGCCTGCCTGCCTGCCTGCCTGCCTGCCTGCCTGCCTGTCTGTCTGTCTGTCTGTCTGTCTGTCTCACTGTGTGTGTGTCTCTGTCACTCTCTCTGCCCCTCTCCCTCGGTCTCTTTGTGACTCCCTCTCTTTCCCCTCCGCACCACCCCCTCTCTCTCTCTCTCTCTCACACACTCTCTCCATCTCCACCCTGCAGCCGTACAGGGGATATAATCGAGCCTTTCCTGAGGAGCCAGTGGTTTGTTCGATGTAAAAAAATGGCGACACAAGCGATAGCGGTGAGTGTCTGCCTGTCTGCCTGTCTGTCTGTCTCACTCTCTTGCACTCACACTCTCTCACACGCTCACACAATCACTCTCTCTGTCTCTCTCACACACACACAGACTCACATACTCTGTCTCACACACACTCTCTCTCTCAGGCTGTGGACTCTGGGAGATTGTGTTTCACTCCGAGTTTCCATCAAAAGACGTGGAAAACCTGGCTCAGTGACATCAGGTCAGTGGGACCCCACGTGTGGCTGTGTTACAGTGATTGGTGTGTGACTAGAATGTGACTGGCATGTGACTGACATGTGCTTGCGTTACAGTGACTGACGTGTGACCCCACACAGACACTTGTAGCTGATCTCAGGCTGTGTTGCTGCTGTCAGGGATGGAGCCTGAGGCTGAGAGACGCTGATCAACACCCAACAACTCCGCACGAAGACATCGGATCTGTAACATACACACAGTCAGCCTGACACACACACACAGCCTGACACACACACACACACACACAGCCTGACACACACACACACAGCCTGACACACACACACACAGCCTGACACCACACACACACACAGCCTGACACACACACACAGCCTGACACACACACACACACACACAGCCTGACACACACACACACACACACACAGTAACACAGCCTGACACACACACACACACACACACAGCCTGACACACACACACAGCCTGACACACACACACAGCCTGACACACACACACAGCCTGACACACACACACACACAGCCTGACACACACACACACAGCCTGACACACACACACAGCCTGACACACACACACACACACAGCCTGACACACACACACACACACACACACAGCCTGACACACACACACACACACACACACACACACAGCCTGACACACACACACACACACACACACACACACAGTCAGCCTGACACACACACACACACACACACACACACAGCCTGACACACACACACAGCCTGACACACACACACAGCCTGACACACACACACAGCCTGACACACACACACACACACACAGCCTGACACACACACACACACACACACACAGCCTGACACACACACACACACACACACACAGCCTGACACACACACACACACACACACACAGCCTGACACACACACACACACACAGCCTGACACAACACACACACACACACACAGCCTGACACACACACACACACACAGCCTGACACACACACACACACACACACACAGCCTGACACACACACACACACACACACACAGCCTGACACACACACACACACACAGCCTGACACACACACACACCACACACACACAGCCTGACACACACACACACACACACACAACAGCCTGACACACACACACACACACACAGCCTGACACACACACACACACACACAGCCTGACACACACACACACACACAGCCTGACACACACACACAGCCTGACACACACACACAGCCTGACACACACACACACACACACACACACACGCCTGACACACACACACACACACACACACACAGCCTGACACACACACACACAACCTGACACACACACACACAGCCTGACACACACACACCACAA